CCCCATCTCCCCTCATCTCCTCCCCCCTCCTTCCCTCCCCTCCTCTCCTCTCCCCTTTTACTGCATGTCTGCTAGCAGTGAATTTTGTTTTAGTTTGTGAAATGTTTTTATTTTGCTTTCCTTTTTGTAGCATATTTTTGATGAGTCTGTTGGTTTTCTGTGGCTGCTATAACAAATTGCTACAAAGTTTGTGGCTTAAAAACCACAGAAACTTATTCTCTCACAGTTGTGGGAGCCAGAAGTCCAAAATTCAGGTGTTGGCACGGCCTCATACCCTCTGGAGGCTCGAGGTAAGAATCCTTTCTTGCCTCTTGAAGTTTCTGGAAGTTTTCAGCATTCCGTGACATGAATAGCCTTGTGGCAGCATCACTCCGGCTTCTACTTCCATGGTTACATCATCTCCTTCTCGTCTGTGTTTCATATGCGGACACTTGGCATTGGGTTTAGGCCCCCACTACCTGTAATCCATGATGATCTTATCTGAAGGTCCTTAACTTATGTCTACAAAGACTCTTTTTCCAAATAAGGTAACATTTATAGGTTCTAGGGATTTGATGATGTATTTTCTGGGAGGGGGCAGGGTTTGCCTACCATACTGAGTATACAGTTTTAGGTTGGCTGTTATTTTCTCTCAGCACTTTAAAGGCAGTTGTATTGTCTTCCGGTTTCTGTCAGAATTATTTTTGTTTCTTTGGAGTTAGTATATCCCTTCCCTCCCCCCTGCCCCCCGATCCCGCTGCTTTTAAAATATCTTCGTTTTTACTGTGAAATGGCTAGATGTGATTTTCTTTGTGTTTATCTTTGCTTAGTGCTCGCAGAGCTGCTTGACTCTGGCTTGATTATTCAGAGGGCAGTAGAAGGAAGAAATGGGGAGGAAAAAATATCTCCTCTGAAGTGAAGGTAGTTTTTCCAGAAGAGTGGGCTTTAGTCTCACTTTAAGGAGAACACTTTTAAATAGCTTGGAGAGCTCAAAACTGCTGTTTAGGGAACTGAAAGCCAAATGAGCCAAGAACAACATTTAAATGAAAACCGTGGCACAGCAGCCGGAGGGTGAGGAGTTGCCTCCGCATGGTTCTGAGCACAGGGGTGAAGAAGCAGGGCTCCTCCCAGAGGCACGGAAAGCCTCGGGCATCCGGCTCAGTGGCAGGGGGCAGGGGCTGGGGGGGGGTTTCTCTCGCAGGTTCTCCCGGGGCACTCATCCCTCCCAGCCCCACCCCACTACTGCCTTCACCCTTCCTCCCTCCACCTGCGAAACCCAGGGACAGCTTGAGCCCCCAGAGACCCCTCTCAGCAGCCCAGATTCTCCCCCGAAGCCTGGCAAGTTCTAGGACTGGAAGCCAGGCTAACAAGGCCGGCGCCAGAGGTGCAGTCGGGCAAAGAGTGTGTGGCGGGGACTGGAGCCTTCAAGCCCACCCACATCCTTCAAGGGGAGGGAGGAACGCATCTTTCTAACAGTACTTCTCAGGGGTCAGCGTGCTCCCCACCCCATGGTGATCCATGCTCACTTGACACAGACCGCCTCCTAACTGTCCCCCTCAATTCCGCCCTAAGGGGTCCTCTGACAGGGGTCTGTGACAGCGTGGGTCCCAATCTCTTTAGTCAGCTGAGGCCAGCACTTCAGGGGGCCCTCCAGTCCCCTCCCTGTCGTTGTGGTGTCCCGTCCTCCCCACCCCCCCGATACTTTATCTAATAGAGGAAGGAGCGCAGTCAAGGGACCTGCGAGCCTGTGGGTGAGTTTTAAGCCCGAGAGCCCGAGATGCAATTAAATATTATTGGAACCTACTGTAAGGTGGGGGAGGGGAGGCTAGGAGGCTGCGTCCCACCTCAGTGGGTCCAGCTCTGGGGCCCTGCACCCCCCCATCCCCTCCCTCGCTTCCCCGACTTCAGTAGGAGGAGCTCCGCAACCCCACCCAGTCCTTTGCAGCTTCCCCTCCTGGATTCCCCACCCAATGCACAGGTTGGCCCCTCCCCACCCGCGGGCGGAGCACTGGAGGGCAGGGGTTAGACGAGGGACCAAAGCTCCCCGCACTGCTCTTCTAAACAGCAGGGGCGGCTTGGAGCAAACCTGAGCTCTAGTTTTCTAAGTCATAAGAAATACACAATTTAAAGACCTTGTTGGCTGACTGCAGTCTGTGGATCACCCGTGATCTGTATTATCAGTTTATCTTTTTCTTTTTCACCCATAAGGTCCTGTGTCTTGCCATTCCTAGTGTTTTTTTCATGGAATGTAATAAACAAGTGTATTAAAAATTATAGGTGATCCGGTTGATACCTTCCTTTGTTAACCACACAACACGTTGCTTGATCTTTTTTTTCCCCCCAGCTTTACTGAGGCATGATTGATAAATAAAAACCGTATATATTTAGGTTGTACAACATGGGTTTTTTTAAGGTGTACGTGGTGATTTAATGTATATATATGTCGTGGAATGATTACCACGATTAAGTATCTCCAAATATCATCACATTGGGGATTAGAGTTTCAACATGTAAATTTTGGAGGGGACACAGATATCATGCTCCCAGGCCAACTATGTCCATATATTCTAATTTCGCCTTTGTTGCACGAGGTTATCGGACACTGAGATGCAGTTAGGAGTTCAGACGTTGTAGGGGTGGGTAACGCTTGTAAGGATCTGGTGGGGTGGAAGCAGTAGTGGGTGCGGGAGCCTGACCCGAGTGTGCAGTGTCAGCGGGCTCATTGGGGAGCCCTGGGGCGGCACTAGCAGTTAGCGGAGGCCTCGGCAGGCAGAAGTGGCCCTGCAAAGCCCTGCTGCTGCAGGCTCTCCTCCCGCATCCTCCTCCCCCCAGCCGAATGGCAGGTTGCTTTCTGGAATCCAGATGCAGGTGGTGGTGGTCACTTGGCTTTGTCAGCTTCTTGTTCCCTGTCGGTTCACAAAGGTTTGCCTTGTTCTTATTTGTATTTTATAATACATAGTACTGCTGCATAACCCTTCATCTTGTGGGGGTTTCCATAGTTTTATTCAACCAGTTCTTTGCATGGGTATGTTGTTTGAAGTCTTTTGCTATTCCAGTAATACTGCAGTTGATAGTGTTTGTGAAAATTATCTTCAGGGTGGATTCCTTGAGGTGGGATTGCCAGTGGAGAGAGTAAATGCAGATGTGATGTTTTTTTCCTGTTATTCTTTTTAAAAATTTTTATTTTATATTGGAGTATAGTTGATGAACAATGTTGTGTTTCAGGTGTACAGCAAAGTGATTCACTTATACATATACATGTATCTATTCTTTCTCAAATTCTTTTCCCATTTAGGTTATTACAGAATATTGAGCAGAGTTCCCTGTGCTATACAGTAGGTCCTTGTTGCTTATCTATTTTAAATATAGCAGCGTGTACATGTCAATCCCAAACTCCCAATCTATCCCTCCCCTCTACCCTTCCCCCCTGGCAACCCTAAGTTCTTTCTCTAAGTCTGTGAGTCTGTTTCTGTTTTGTAAATAAGTTCATTTGTATCTTTTTTTTTTCAGATTCCACATATAAGCGATACCACATAATATTTGTCTAAGCGATACCACATGATATTTGTCTTTCTTTGTCTGATTTACTTCACTTAGTATGATAATCTCTGGGTACATCCATGCTGCTGTAAATGGCATTATTTCATTCTTTTTAATGGCTGAGTAATACTCCGTTGTAGGTATTACCACATCTTCTAACGCAGATGTAATTTTAAAGGTACTGCCGATTTCCCTTGTTGTGTAGGATTTTTACTGCTTTGCACTCCTACCAGAAGGGTGTGAGACTGTTGTTTACCCCACAACCTTGCCAAGAAAGCGTGTCCTCAGCTTTTGGATTTGTGCCAGCCTGAAGTTAGAAATGGTAGTTGGCAGTTCTCTCTGTCCATGTCTTCCGTTTTCTTTTGGGTTTTTGTTTTTTAACTTTAAAAGTTATTTATATATTAAGTGTATTTCCCCTTTGTCTAAATAATTTGCAAGTATATTTCTTGTAAAAAGCTAAGTCTTTTTTACACAGCTAGTGGTATTTAAGTTTTTGTTTTTATGAAGTGATTGGGATTTGGGATCACTTCCAACCTCTTGCAAGAGGGAGAGTCTGGGCAGTGTAGTTTTTAGCTTGCCAGCCCCTGCCTGCCAGAAAGGAGCTAGAGTTGTTGTTGGAGGAGACAGTCCATGGTACTCGCCAAGGGGCGTTTTCAGGAGGACAGTACTGTGACTGGGAAGATGGACAGGAGTGGGAGGGAACAGTGGTTCTCAACCATGTTGATTTGGAACCCTGCAGATTAGAATTTTCTGGAGGGATTAACAGCTTCTCGCAACTAGTTGTGTAGGTAGTAAAGACTAGCAAACCTGGGTCATCTTGGCTCTGCCCTGAATGTAGAGAAGGCTCTTTAAGGCCCCATTGTCGTGTGGTGAATGGATCGAGCTGAGAGCTGTGAGGGACCTGGAGTGAATAACTGAGGCCCCTCTCTGGTTTTTTTTTTTTTTGCTGTACGCGGGCCTCTCACTGTTGCGGCCTCTCCCGTTGTGGAGCACAGGCTCCAGATGCGCAGGCTCAGCAGCCATGGCTCACGGGCCCAGCCGCTCCGCAGCATGTGGGATCTTCCCGGACTGGGGCAGGAACCCGTGTTCCCCTCATCGGCAGGTGGTCTCTCAACCACTGTGCCACCAGGGAAGCCCGCCCCTCTGGCTTTGACTGAAACACTAACGTCTTTCTTGATGTTTCTGTTGTGTTCACGTGATCAATTAGTGGTTGTAGTTTAGTCTTACTAAGGATTCCTCATTTGTGTTAATAAAGGTCAGGTTGCTTGCAAACGGAATGTGTGATTAGATTTTTCCCAGTTCCATTTGTGTATGGTGCTGGTTAGAGCCGTTTAGCATGTGAAGCTTGCAACACTCTTATTACTCTTGCTAAGTAATAAATTAGGTGATTAGAATCGAAAATAAAACTGCCAGAAGAATTGAGAGTTTTCTGACTTCGGCTTAGGATTTTTTTTTTTACTTCATTCTAATTCAGTTTCTGTCAAATAAATGTTTTTAACTTAAAAAGTTGTAAGCATTTATACTCTTAGGTTTAAAAGACTTGTTTATGATTGTGACCCATCACAGCTCTGAGGAGAGGAGACAAGTAGAGACCACCTGCTCAGCACCCATAGCGCTGTTGGGCTCCTGAAGTCAGTCTGGGGGTTGCGGTGAAGAAGCTGAGGACAGTTGGGTCTGTGGGAGCCCTGGTTTTAAAATCACATTGTTCTTTGTTTTTCTCCAGCTGGTTTCCCCATGGGCTATGCAGCAGCAGCTCCTGCCTATTCCCCCAACATGTACCCTGGAGCGAATCCTACCTTCCAAACAGGTATGCAGGCCATATGTGCTGGGTGGCAAAAGTGTTTTGTCCATGTGGCTGGGGGAGAATGTCAAGTGGATGGATTTTGAGAAGGGTGGTTATAGAATTGGGATTTGGGGTTGATTTATTGGTTCATAAAATTAGGCTTCTTAATAAGTACAATAAAAGCTTAATTCTTATTGCACATAAAGCTTTGTATCAATATATTGCATTTCTGGCGTCCTTCCATAACACGGATCTTCATTCCAATTATAGCTTGTTACAGGTAACTAGTTGTGCCAGAACAAGTATGTATTTATGAAATAGTGTTGATTATTAGAAACTAAAGATCATATTGCCATGTTAATAAGTAGAATTTCCATGTTGCTAACATTTTTAGAGATAACTGATTTCTCTCTAGAACTTGAGCACCTTGATTATGGCTTTAAAAGAAAGTCTTGTTTTCTATGTAAGGTGCATGAGAATAGTTTTAGATTTTAGAAATCAAGTGGTACAATTGAAAGTGGAATTTGTTTGGGTCTGGTCCTTGTAAAGACAGTTTTTTTAATTGGGACTTTCCTCTTTGAGCCTGCATTTTGGTGTTGGCTCATTCCAGGCTTTATTCACCCAGGATGGACTTTGTGATTCTGCTGCAGCAGTGGTGGCCTACACTCTGACCCGAAGGCTTAGCCTCACGGGTCTGCTGGGGTGCTTCTTTGTCCCTCGGAACCCCTAGCCTCACATAGTTAACTTGACAGGAGAGGAGACAGCAGCAGTGTCCTTTTCCTGAGTTCTTCCAGTTTGATAATCATAAAATTCTTCCTTCTTTCTGTGGCCCTTCTGTCCATGACTTGCATTCCATTCCCAGTCTGACTGCCTTTGTTCACCCTGTAGCTCACACCGAGAGAAAGACCTTCTTAGCTTGGTCTTCCTGCTCCCAAGATTTCTCTCCTTGACTTCACGTTCCCTGTACTTACACCAGAGTAATGTTCGCAGTTATGAAGGTTTCCCATGACTAAGACACAGTGAAGCCTAGAGTCCCAACTTTAAATCCCTAGCTCTTTGACACATTGACCTGTTCTTTCCAAAAGAGATTTTGTTTTGTTTTTGCATAGCTTTTATTCACACTCTTTCTCCCCCAAGAACTAGAGAACCTGCTACTTTGTGCCATCTTTTGGGATCTGTTATGGAACATCCCTTCCCTGGGACAAGCAGTATTATGTTATTACTCACTAGATTATTTAAGTTCCAAATGGCACCACCATCTCCTTTTGTGAAACATCTCATCTTGTTTAACTTTTTTCAAACAGCTCTTTGGAGGTCTGAATGACATTCAGTAAACTGCATATATTTAAAGGGTACTTGATATGATGTATGCCACCTTCTCAGTCTAGAGTGAACATATCCCTCATCCCCAAAAGTTTTCTCCTGCCCCTTTGTGACCTCACCTAGGCTCCAGGAAATCACTCATCTGTGTTCTCTCACTACAGATCGTTTGTAGTTTCTAAAATTTTGTGTAAGTGAATCATATTGAATGCCCTTTTTGGGGGACTGGCTTTCATTCAGGATAATTTTTGACATCCATGTTGTAGTGTATATCAGTAGTTCGTTTCTTATTATTGTTGGGTAGTATTGCATTGTACAGAAATAGCACAAATTGCTTACCCGTTCACTGGCTGATGAACATTGGGACTGTGTGCAGTCTGAGGCTGTTACACATGAAACCGCTGTGAATACTTGTGTACATTCTTTATGTGGACATACCCTTCCATTTCTCTTGAGTAAATACAGAGGAGTGGAGTGGCTGGCTCTTAAGGCAGGCGTATGTTTAACTTTGTAAGAAGCTGCCACACTCTTCCAAAGGAGTTGTGCTATTTTATGTTCCCACCAGCGGTGGAGGAGAGTTCAGTTTCCTTTATATCTTTGCTAATACATGATATAGTCATTCTTTTTAATGTCAGCCATCCTAGTGAATATGTAGTGATATCTTACTGTAGTTTTAATTTGAGTTTATCTAATGACTAATAATGTTGAACATCTTTTCATGTGCCTGTTTGCCACTTGTGTGTCTTCGGTTAAGTGTTTGTGTACATCTTTTTCTGCCTGTCAGTTTTTAAGTTTGTTTTTTTATTGTTGGGTTTGAGAGTTCTTTATAAGATATATGATTTGCAAATATATTTTCATAGTCTGTGGCTCTTCACAGTGTCTTTAAAAGAGCAAGAGTTTTTAAATTTAATGAAGTTCACTTTATCATCTTGTTCTTTTATGAATCACGGTTTTGGTATCATTTCTAAGAAATCTTCGCCTAACCCAACATCAAAAAGGTTTTCTCCTAGAAGTTTTATAATTTTAGGTTTTACATTTAGGTTTATGATGTATTTTGGATTAATTTTTCTACATGGTGGTAGGAATGGATTGAAGTTTATGTTTGCATAAGTATTAGTTGTTTTTTACTGTATGTGATCATGCTGCAGACCACCATAAAATGTCACTGTTCTAGAATTCTCCAGCATAGCTCACTTGTACTCATTTTCTCTATGGAGTACAAATTGATGTAAAATTGTACTAAAAGCTTCCAACTTCCTTATTCTTTTACAAAAAGAGCCTCAGGTTTATTTGAGGCTGGTGAAGCCGTTTTCCTTGCCCAGGGTATGAAGTGCTCCCCTGAAGGGAAAGTTTGGTGTTTATTGGGCTGGTGCTGGTGTCTGATAGTTTCCTCCTCTGGCCCAGCTGTAGAACAGGTGCCATTCCTCTTCTCTCGTGTGCTTCCTTTCTTGTAGGGAGATAGGCCCTTTCTTGCCTCTTTTCCAAGACTGCTCTCAAGCTGTTCCTCTAACCCAGAAGCTGGGGCGGGCAGGGGGAGTAGTGGTCTTGGTGGGAACGGTGGCTGCCAAGAGGGCCTGCCTTGTTGAAAGGGGTGTCCGCTGATGGGTGCTGGATAGTTGTCGGCTGCCACACTGCTCGCCCAGCATTGCCAGATCTTCAGATTTTTAGGAGAAGCTGGGAATAAAGATGTATGTGAAATTTGTGAATGAAAAAGATAAAAGGCACTTGGAAGGTCCTACCAGTGTCATGCAAGTGCTTGCAGCCACCTGACCTGAGTCTAGGCTACAGCTGTGCTCCCTTCTTTTTCTGGGATCCTCAGCATTTTCATAGCTTGAATTTTTAAATTTCCTTTTTCAGTGGGCTTTTTTTCTTATGTGATGAGTAAGCCAAAATTGTCACTATAGAAAAATTAAACAAAATTTTTCTCCAGTTTTGCTGCTTTCTCAATGTTCTGGTTCTCTCACCACCAGATTTTTGGACAAAGCTGATGTATAGTGTAGGGGTTGTGTATGTAGGTTTTAAAGCACTTTTGCAGCTCTAACACTGCTTATTTCTTAGCTCTTACAAGTGTGACGTAGGGAGGTTTTAGAGAACCTTGTGAGGAGATGTCATGTCTTTTGCTGAAAGATTCCATCACTCAGAATCTGGAAATGGAGGTGATATTCATTTTATCCTCATGAACAAGCCTAGTAGGCTGAGTACATGTGCAACCAGAGAGGGCTGTCTTTTTTTGGAATCAGAACAGTATATTGGAAAGAGTTTGGGCTGTAGCATTAGCAAGATATGGCTCAAATCCTGACTCTGTCACTGCTGGGAAAGATGTTTCATTTTGGGCATTTTGTTTAATGAATCATTATATCTCCTCAGCTGTGTTAATTGAGGATTCTAGCTGCAAGCACGCAATCAAGCTCCCAAGGCACCAAGGATGCACATTCAGGCTTCTGTTCTATTCCCGTTTACAGCCAGGAGTATCTGTAACTAATATTTGCATTGATCATCTGAAATCATCAAGAAAGCATTCAGTTCTTTTTAGTAAGCTCTATGTAAGAGGTGATTTAGATATTACATTGGCACATATTTTTAAAAGATGAAAACGTTGCTAAGAGTGATGGAAAGGCTTCTCTGGTTGCTGCCATGCATGACTGGATGGCGGATAAATTGGGGAAACATTTTTGGAGGACAGTTTGGCAATATAATAGCTTAAAAATGAGAATAATCAGTTATGCAAATATTTATGTATACATGTAGATATATCTAGTAAAGTAATGGTTTGATTAAACTGTTGGTTTATTTCAGTGTTTAACTGGTCTTATTACTTGTTTATGAGGGATACTTAGTAAGTGGAAATGCTTTATGATACTTAGTAAGTGGAAATGCTTTATGGTATGTCACTTTCTTTCTTTTTAAGCTCAGAATTATGTCCATGAAGTAAGATCCCAGGTTTGTTTAAAAATTAAGGAGAGAAGAGCATTGGTGTGTTAATAGCTTGTGGGGTCATGGCCTCTGTCTCTCTCTCTCACTTAAGTTAAAGGTTTACATTCACATAGTTTAAAGATTCCTAATTTTCCTTCCTACCCCTGTTACTGTGACCCTGTGAGCATTGCTCACTGCTGTGAACGAGTGGCTGTTTTCTTCTGCAGTTACTTTTCCTTCCCTGGACCTAGTGTCCTTTATTAGATTTCTGTAACCACAAAGTTAATTAAACCCTCAGCTTCCCCCCAGGTGTGGGGTCTCTTCTCAGCATTTTAGGCCACGTAAGGTGTTTGTGTTTTCTTTTCTTGGTGGTATCTTTTTGAAACCCTCTCTCCTACTCTGGCCTGGGCTGCTTGTCCTCTGGGCCTTACACTGGGTCGTTCTCCTCCATCATCCCAGAGAGTTCTCTTCTCTTCCCTTCCACTTGATTCCTTGTCTGCTTTCGTAGTTTACTCTTCGGTTTTAGTGGAGGATCTTTTTCAGTAATCTCCCAGGAGAGTATGGGAGAGTCACAGTTTTGAGATTTTTCACGTCGGAAAACATTTTATTCTGCACTCACACTTCATTGTTAGTTTGTCTGGATATAGAATTTTAGGCTAGCAGTTATTTCCCCTCAGAATTTTGAGGACATTGCCGAACTGTTTGTCAGTTTTGTTGTTGCTGCCGCTGAGAATGTCGGTACCTTTCTGATGCTTGGTTGACTGAGCTGGGCTAATCTTTGGTGCTCTGTA